CGCATTTCCAATACACCATGCTACTCTTTGGACTCTCCACAGCCCCAAGGATCTTCTAAAAAATGATCACAGTGGTGGCCACCCACCTCCGAATTAGGGACATTAATGAGAATAAGATCTGTCTGGTCAGAACGCCCACACGCCAAGAGGCTCACAAGGCAGTCTTCTTAGCCATATCCCTATTTCAGACCCTTGGGTTGCAAAGAAACTTATCCACATGCACGCTCCAGCCAGCTCAGACTGTAGAGTTTTTCGGAGCATATTTCAATTACCTCCAGGCAACAACATCTCTTTTGCACCAGCGATTCCAGACAATCAAACACCTTGTCGAGGTGCTGCAGCCCAGCCCACAAGTTCCCTACAGCTGCTAGGCCACATGGCAGTGGCCACATCAGTGGTGTTGCTCGCCAGGCTACATATGAGGCCGATGCAGCAGTGACTCAGAATGGTGCACAGGCCCCATCACACCAGTAGCAACAAGCTAGTTTTGGTCCCAAACAAGATCAAACATTCACTAGCCTGACGGGCGGATCCAGAAACCATGTGCGCTGGGGTACCCTTCCGCAGAAGCCCCCCGACGATCATGATCACAATAGATGTCTCCCTCCTGCGGTGGGGAGTATACTCAGGCCCCTCACAGTTCAGGGCCGATGGCAGTCCCACGAGCGCTCCCTGCAGAGTGGTGCAATATGCACGTCAGAACTTCCTGCAATGGATACATGGCAACACTACAGATTTTTATGGACAATCAAGCCACAATGTACTACATAAACAGACAGGGCAGAGCCTGTGCAAGGAGGCGGCCTACCTATGGTCATGGTGCATAGACCACAATGTTTGGATACAAGCCTCTTACCTGCTGGGCAAGGATAATGTTACGGCAGACACCCTCTTCCAGCCACGAATGGGAGATGGACGACAACATACTTCACACAGTATTCACACGTTGGGGATCCCAGTGATCGACTTATTTTCAATCAATGTGAACAAGAAGTGTCCACGGCATTGTTCACATGTGGGCATTAGCTCTCACTCTCTGGAGGACGCCCCCCTTCTCTGTGCCTCCCCACTAATGCCTCTTCTTCACCAGCTGGTCATCAAAATAAGAGCAGGGACAGTGTCACTAATACTCATTGCTCCATCATGGCCGCACCAGACCTGGGACACTTCTCTGCTTCACATATCCATAAATCCTCCTTGGCAGCCCCCGATAATCTGTCCATCTCCTGACTCAGCAAGAGGGTCAAATCTGGCATCCATCTCCCCACATCCTTCACCTCTGAGCATGATTCCTCTCTGGCTCTCCTCAATAGAAACCACATTTACAGATCAGGTCAGGCAGATCTTAATCAGTAGTTCGCAGAGCCACAACAAGAAAATCCTACCTATACAAATTGCGAAGATTCTCTGGGTGGGTCAAAGACTGGCAGATCCATCTACAATTCCATTGGGTGATATATTAGAGTACCTTTTATACCTAGAACATACAGGTCTCTCCTCAGCTTGTGTGGCAGCACATCAGGGACCCCCTCCAACCCTGCATCCCCGTCTGCAGCCAGATGTGACTCCACCAGCCAGTAGAATAGGGAGTTTATTGCTTCTCAGAGATACAGCCCAGCCTGGGTTCGATGTAGACATTGGAGTAAGGGGCCAGCAGCCTCAGACCCCTTGGGGTAGGGGACACAGGCCCCTGAACCCCCAGCACTCGGCTTAGTCTGTTCTCTTCATGTTCTCCCAGCCAACCTGCCCAGCTCCCGGGCCCTGCCCCCCAGCCAGGTGGCTGTCTCCACCTCCCTTCCTTTGTCTCTCCCTCTGGGAAGAGCCTTGTTAACTGCTTAGGCTGCGACTAGGTATCTGGGCCAATACGCATGTGGGGTGAGTCAGTGGGAATCGCACCTCACAGCACAGCCAGGTGGGGACACCGGGTTACAGAGCAGACAGCCCCCCGCTACATCACAATTTGTTAAAGGTACAACTTGTAGCCATAACAGTGTTCCACCAATCCATCAACGACAAATCAGTCTTTGCCCACCCCATGACTAACATGTTTCCGCCAGTTAGAACACCAGTACCAGCCTGGGACCTCAACCTCATACTACGCGCTCTCACCCATGCACCATTTGCGCCTATGGCTACATGGTCAATGCTGCACCTCTCAGTGAAGGTTGCTCTGTTAGTCGTGCTTATGTCAGCCAGAAGGGAGAGCGAAATTGGGGCTCTAATGGCTGACCCGCCCTTCATCATCTTTCATAAGGACAGGGTGGTCCTGCAACCACACCTGACGTTCTTACCACACGTACTTACCTTCTGGCACTGCAACAGATCTCTGGTTTTACCCGTCTTCTGCCCAAAACCTCACGCCACCATCGAGGAAGCTAAATGGCACATGCTTGATATGCACCGCACAATTGCCTTCTATTTGAAAGGACAAGGTCAATTCGTAAAACGAACAGACTTTTCATTTCCACTGCTGAATGATCCTTGGGCATGCAAATCTCTACGCGGACACTGTCCAGGTGCATTGGGAACTGCATCCACCTGGCTTGCGCCAGCTTCTGTCAGGAGCCACCACTCCAACTGTGTGCACCGTCCACAAGGGCCATGGCAACCTCTGTGGCCTCCCTCAGCAGTGCTCCTCTCATGGACATTGGCAGAGCTGCAACCTGGTCTTCTGCACACACCTTCACCAGACATCGCGCTCTGGAGGCTTACCTGAAATGGGGCACTGAATTCGGACACACAGTCCTCGCATTTAGCCGATCACCCGCCTCCTATCATGGCTACTGCTCCATTGTCACCTGAGGTGGAGCACCCACAGGAGAGAAGGTTACTACTTTGTGCAGTAAAGGGGTTCTTCGAGATGATTGTCCCTCTGGGAGCTCTACCACCCGCCCTTCCTCCCCTGTGCTTTGGACTGGTGGTTGTCCTTCCGGGGCAGAGAAGGAATTGAAGGGACAGTTGCCTGACCTGATGCCTGCCTCACCTGTGTGTCCCACCGGAGGGCGATGCTACTGTAAATCTCTAACTAGGTGCACAGCGGCGCCTCAAGACCCGTGGTGGAGCATCCACAGGGACAACCATCTCAAAAAACCTCCGTTACTGCTCAGAGTGAGTAACCTTCTCTTACGCAGGTGAGAGGTTATAAACCTAATCTCGCCAGCGCTGGACAGGGGGAGGCCGAGAGCGTCCTGGGTGGGGGCGTGTGGGGAGAGGGGGGGAGTGGCTGAGAATTGGGGGGCAAACAGGTGACAGACAAACCAACCGACAGAAAAGCCTCCCTGCCTGGCCCCCAGCTGAGCGGAGAAACGTCCCCCTGGCGCCAGAGCACTGCAGGGCCCAGCCTAGTCGCTTTGTGCGCTCCAGCCCCACGGCGTGGGGAGGGGGCGACGGTGGAGGAGCCCCACGCACCCAGGCCTTAGGTTCCCCACCCGCCTTCTAAGCACTGAGCATTTTAGGCCTGGCTGGACTAGAGAAGGGGGCACCAGGGGAGTTGCCGCTGAAGGCGCGCGGCCGCGCACAAACACCCCTCTGCCGCCCACCTCCCTTGCGGAGCCTTGCAGCGGCACTCGCCTTCCTGCTGGCCGGGGAATGGCGCGGTTGTTTTCCTGATCTGGTGGGGGGCGGCTGCCCCGTTGTGTCCCTGCTGGGGCAGCCTCGCCCCACCTCCAGCTGCGATTGGGGCTTCTGTTTGTTTCTGTTCATACAGTTTGCTGCAGTTTTCCATCCCGGAGGACCTGCGTGAAGGTGGTCCGACCAGAGATACGGGGATCGATTTTTAAGAGTAAGAGGTTTTGTTTTTAAAGCAGGGGTGAGGAACCTAATACCCCAGCTCACGTGAGTGTGGCCCTCGAGACTCAAGGTTCCCACACTAACGCTCTAGCTCCCCTCCAGATTGGTGATAGAAATGTAGCCGTGTTAGCCTGGGGTAGTTGAAGCAAAATGCAGGACAATGTAGCACTTTAAAGACTAACAAGATGGTTTATTAGATGATGAGCTTTCGTGGGCCAGACCCACTTCCTCAGATCAAATAGTGGAAGAAAGTAGTCACAACCATATATACCAAAGGATACAATTTAAAAAAAATGAACAAATATGAAAAGGACAAATCACATTGCAGAACAGAAGGGGGATGCGGGGGGGTGGGAAGGGGGAGGAAGGAAGGTAAGTGTCTGTGAATTGCTGATATTAAAGGTAGGGAGAGTGGGATGTTTGTGAGTTAATGGTATTACAGGTGATAATTGGGGAAACTGTCTTGGTAATGGGTGAGAAAGTTCAAAGACTTGTTAAGTCCTTGTTGGTAAGTGTCGAATTTTAACATGAATGACAGTTCAGAGGATTCCCTTTCAAGTGCAGATGTAAAAGGTCTTTGTAGCAGAATGCAGGTGGCTAAGTCATTTAGAGAGTGTCCTTTCTGGTTAAAGTGGCAAGAAACTGTTTTCTCTTTGTGATCTTGTCTGATATCTGTTTTGTGGGCATTAATCCTTTGGCGAAGTGTCTGAGATGTTTGTCCAATGTACATAGCAGACGGACACTTTCGGCACATGATAGCGTAGATTATATTTCTGGATGCGCAGGGATATGTGTTCTTGATCTTATAACTCACTTGGTTGGGTCCAATAATGGTATCAGCAGAATGAATATGTGGACAAAGCTGGCAACGGGGTTTGTTGCAAGGGAAGGTACCAGGGTTGGTATTAGTGTGGTATGTCCTGTGGTGGTTGGTAAGAATCATCTTGAGGTTAGGTGGTTGTCTATAGGAGACTATGGGTCTGTCTCCCATTGTGTCCATAATGTCACACAAACAAGTCTTACAGGCATGAGCAGCACAGACTCAGCAAAGCACAAGCTTTCATTAGACACCTCACTCACATAGCCCACTTGGCACAGAATTGGGGCAAACACACTACAGCGGGTGCAACCAAGATCTGCATTTTCTTATTAAAATCCACTAATGTCACAGTGAGGTGATCCCGATGCTCACCCCCCTTTCTGCTCCCCAGCTGGCTGTGGAAGGGACAGCTTGTCACTGTGCGAGGGCTGAAACCAGAGCCCCCTGGCGGCAGGCCCCATGGCACCACAGACCTGCTGGTGGCAGAGCAACAGCACTGCAGGTAGCACCTCTGGAGTCCCCCTCTTGTTATGCGTATATGACTGACACTCTGATGTTGACCAGACAAAACCCAGAGATTCGCGCAAGGCGCTTCATCTTTGATAGGACTTTTCTCCCATTCAGGTCTATGCATTTCGCTTCATCAGCTCTTAATCAATCCCCATCTGTTCTGCTTAATATCTGTTTATCTGGGAGTTCTTCTTTACTCTCACGTTGGTATGTTGGGGTCTCCTTCCCAGGGTTATTTCAAGGCTGTCTTGTTTGTAACAGAGCGCTTGCTTCTTAACACTGCAGGCCATCCACATGTCTTCCATCAGTCTGCTTTGTATTGGGTCAATTTATGGTACCTTGACACTGCTGAGTTTTCCAGCCCCCTCCCCTCTTCCACTGTCCAGACTCTGCAGCTGTTGGGCCTCCAAGTTGTTATCTCTCCAGACACTCACATTCCACTCACTGTTTTATAAAGAAAACATAATGAATGAATGAAAAGTGTGCACTAATCAAAGCTCTGTATTAGGAATGAGATTGATACCTTTCGGATGGACAGTGTGACCCTTCTCCCACGTGTGTAGTTCACTCCCCCTCCCCAGGAACTACACACGTGGGAGAAGGGTCACACTGTCCATCCGAAAGGTATCAATCTCATTCCTAATACAGAGCTTTGATTAGTGCACACTTTTCATTCATTCATTATGTTTTCTTTATAACACAGTCTAGAGTCTAATTACTGCTAAGAGCAACCGTGTGCTCATGCTGAATCACACGGCTCCTGCTGGTCTCTGTCTGTCTTGACAGCAGACACAGGCACAAGCATTCTGCCTGATGGATCGCTATTGAGGGCCTAGAAGACTGTTCTTCCCTGCTAGCCAGAGTTGGAGTTGTTTAACGTGTGTTCTCACACTACCCATTAAGCACGTTACAGAAAATGTTATAAAACTCTTGCTCTACACTCTGCCCTGGACATCCCTTCTACCCGGAATCCCAGCCCTGTGGAGCCCCTGGGATCCATCGCTGCCCTTGTCCTGTTAGCTGATGCTCCCTTGTTCCCACGGGGGCCCTGCACTGACCTACACCCCCACTAAGTTGCACTCTCTCTTGCAGCTGGCTGCACCACCCCCAGCTGCTGTTGCTTTTGGCTGTGAGCCCCTCCCTGGACCTACGGGAAGTGCGTCTAGTGTTCGAGAGGGTGGAGATGGGTTCTCTCTACTGGGCCCTGCACCAGGAGCTGAGCCAGCCTGGGGCCAGGGTGAGGAGCTCTGTGTACTGGCCACTGAGCCTGGAGGGGAGCCGGCCTGGAGCAGGGGTGAGGGGCTGTTTGTTCCAGGAAGGCGCAGGGCTGGTGCAAGGTGAGGTGCTGCCTGCGTTGGTGGGGAACCAGCCGGGCGTCAGGCTGATGTGCTACTCGGGCCAGAAGTGGGCTGGGAATATGGGGGTGCAAAGGGCACCCAACTCATGCTGTGTCTCCTGCTGCAGGCCCCTTGTTCCGCTGCGCCCCCCTCCTGCCTGGCTGCCCTGCGCCTGCTTTTGCAGCTTTGTGAGGCACTGCTGTTTCTGCATGGGCGAGGGCATGTGCACCGTGGTCTCACGTCTCACGCAGTCCAGCTAGCACGCCCGGGCCTGGCCAAACTCGGCAACCTGGAGTACATGCAGCCACAGTGAGTCCTGTCAGAGCCCCTGGGAGCCCCTGGAGAGCCCCACCCTGATGCCTCGTCCTTGCTTTTCAGGGCAGAGACAGGGCTCTGTGGCCCCGTGCCCCCCTCTGAGCTCTACAACTGGCTCTCTCCAGAGGTGATCCGCGGCCGCCCAGCCTCCGTCTCCTCCGACTTGTACAGCTTCTGTGCCATCACCCAGGAGATCTTCACAGGTCCACGCCTGGGGAGGAGTGGGGCTGGATCCTCGCAATCGGTCTAGCCCAGGCCCTGGGGGGTGGTGGGTGGCAGTGGGGCCAGGACCCTCCCCACACACAATCTAACCCAGCTGCTCTGTGTTCCAGGCACCGTGCCCTGGCATGGGGCAGATGGTGCGGCCGTGCAGCAGTGGATACAGGCTGGGCAGGCTCTGTCCCCTGATGCCCACGTACCCCCTCCCTATTATAAGGTGGTGAGGGATGGACTGGCCCTCCGGGAGCGGGAACGCCATGGCTCCCTGTCTGACATTCGCTACATCCTGCGCAAAGCCTTGCAGGTAACAGGGCTGGGGGGGAGGGGAATCCCCCCCCCGCTGTGCCCAGCCAGGAGCTAACAGACCTGTCCATCCCCATCCCAGGCGGCGGTGGGGAGGCCCTGTGACCCACCATCCTTGTCTCCCAGGAGGCTGTGTGCATGGGCAGGAGAGGCTTGGACCGCCCTGGAGTGCCTCCCTGAAGCCCCTGCAGGTAAGAGCCGTGGGGTGAGGGTGCGATGGACTGGGGATACTGCTGCTGGGCCCTGATCCCCACCCCTCTGTTCCCCAGAGTCGAGGTACGAGTGGGCGACGGCCGATGGCAGTGCTGACCAATGGGCTGAGGTAAGGGGTGGAATGGGGGTGGGACAGCCTCAGGTGCCATTGCTGATCTTAAGGGTGGGAGGGGATTGGGAGATCAGGATGAATGAGGTGTAGGCAGGGTCCAGGGGTGGGGGTAAGAATGTCAGGGTGGAAATCCCAGGGTGAGCTCCAGGGCCCAGCTATGTTGGGTTTGGTCAGTGTGGGGCAGCATGGAAGAGCTCAGGTGCAGAGTGGGGAAATGGAGGGTAGGGTCCAAGGAACAAGGTAAAGGGGTGGGAAACAGGATTTAGTGCACCACCCCGGAGGCTCTCAGCAATGCCCCCTACTTTCCCCAGTTGGGGAGCGGTAGCCCAGTGCCAGGGCAGCAAGGCAAGAGGCAGCACAGCCCCCTGGTGCATCAGGCCAGAGCAGCCTCGGACAGCAGCGTGCAGCTCCACAGCAGTGGCCAGGAGACAAGAGGCTGCGAGAGTGGCAGCGTTGCCTCTAGCACCATGGTATGTGGCATTGGGTCTGCGCCCCGCTTGTCCCAGTTCCCAGGCCTGCACCCCTCCCTCCCCCCGGCC